ACCTCACTTGAGTACAAAAAAAACTAGAACAAGACGGTACGCCATACCTTGATGTATAATGTAGAATGATATGTAAGTTACACCTATACATGGATGATGCCGAAATCAATCAGGAACAAAATCAATCTTAAGGAATTCTGTCAAATTATACTATATATAGGAGTATAGTTCTGTATATTAGGAAAATGTTCATCAAACATTTTGAACCACATCATACCTATCATGCAAGAGCAGTTGCGCCACTGGAAATACAGATTTACTGTCTATACTATCCAAGGCAGAATTCCAAAACAATGAATATCAATTTTGCTAATTGGTCCCTGATTTGCTTTTCCATTTTCTGCACTCTGAAACATCACATGTAGGTATTTTGCATTAGATCATTAATCAGTGTTATTTACTTCGGAACAATTCAGTAAAGGTTTCTTGGGATATCTCTATATATCACTTATCTCCGATTCTCGAATCGATAGCCATTATATTAGGAAGGTTTCGGTCATTGGAATTCATCGAAATGGAAAAACCAGTGTGTATTTAGTCATTACTTAGTATTCAATGAATCAATACGTGAATTTTGTGACTGTATGTGTGTGTGTCCGTATAGTTACAGATTAGGATCGTTATTTGGCACTTTATTTATTTATTTATTTATTTATTTATTTAATTTTCCAGTAGACAATTGCAAAAAAATTATATAGGAATAGTCAAATGGGTAAACTTATATCTAAATACAATACAATACAAAACAACACAAAAATGAATATGGATAATACCATAGTACAGGTAAAACAACAATAGTAAAATAATATTACACTTGATAAGTATGATATGATAGTAGGTAATAATTAAAATCAAAAAGAAAAACAGTATGTATAAAACGTAAGATTTGAATTAAAATACTTGAGAAAAATATTCGTCGACAGAATAATACGAATGTTCCTCTAAAAACACTCTAAGGGATCTTTTGAAACAATTTAAGGTCTTACATAGTTTGATCTCATTAGGTAGAGCGTTAAAAATTTTCGCTGCCATGATATTGGGCGAATTTTTCGTTACATTCATCCTACTGAAAGGGATATAAAAATCATATTTTTGTCTAGTATTTACTCCGTGGCGGGAAATGTTCGTGTGAAAGTTTTCTTTATTGTGAAATACATATAGACACGATTCTAGAATTAGTAATGACGGTAGTGTCAGAATTTTCAGGTCCCTAAAAATGTCACGACATGTTGTACTCTTGGACACACCTACTAAAGAACGAACAACGCGTTTTTGCGCAATAAAAATATCTTGTGCGGAACTGGATAGACCCCAAAAGCAAATGCCGTAACGAAGTCGGCTGTCAATCTGACAATAATATAAATTCAATAACTGTACCCTGTTGAGAACATTTTTCAGATTTCTGAATTGATATGAAAATGAGTTGAGTTTAGATTTCAATGTTTCAGAGTTTTTATGCCAATCAAGACATTCGTCGATATATAGCCCCAGAAATTTCACATCACTTGTGCCTGTAGAAATTGGATCTGAAGATTCATTGACTTGTAAAATGATCTTATCACAATTTTTTTGGCGATTGTGAAATCTAATTGCATTCGTTTTCTTGTCATTGAGAAATAGTCCATTTGCTCTGGTCCAGTCGTTGACCAATCGCAAAGCTTGATTACATTTGGTAGCAAGTTCAAGATTGCATTTGTCGGATGATCCTTGTATTGGTCATTTATCCAGGTCATTGATATACATTATAAAAAGTATTGGCCCCAATACCGAGCCTTGTGGCACACCAATGTTAATATCCGAGCGGTACGATGCCGTGTTATTCAGTACTACATACTGTTGTCTAAGTGACAGGTAACTTGATATCCATTGATGTGAATTTCCTCTTATACCATACCTGTATAATTTTGTAAGTAATATATGATGATGATTGACGCAGTCGAAAGCCCTGCTGAGATCGCAAAATAACCCAACAGGACATTCGCCTGCCTCAATGTTTTCCACAAGTTTTTCATAATAGGAATGTACTGCTGTCATTGTAGATTTTTTGCTAAGAAAGCCATGCTGATTTCTCGAAAATATATTATGTCGATAACAGTGACCCATGTCTATCCAGGTAGGCATACTCAAATATTTTGGAAAAGTTTGATGGCACTGTAATGGGTCGGTAATTGAAAAGAAGTTATGAGGATTACCTTTCTTGAAGATGGGGGTTATCTTACCAGTTTTCAATACATCTGGAAACTTTCCTTGTATAATTGATAAATTTACAAGAGCCCCAATTGCTTGTAGAAGTTTTGAAAACACTTTATATAGAGACTTCACTTCAAAGCGTATTTAAGAAGATCAAAATTATGAAATTCATTTCCGGTATGTATAAAAAAGAAGTTTTTATGCGAATACATTCCACACACCAATGGTCTGAAGAAGATATCCTGTTATTCGAAACAAAAAATGTCCAAATCGGAAAAGTAGTTTTCGAAAATATATATCTCAAACTTTTGGCTACCTTTTGGTGGTGATGCGTTAAAGTAGTATTTCTCGAAGGTCTTCAACTCATACACTTCATTTTTCTGGAAAAATAGAATCACTCTAAAGATAACTGTGGAATTTAAAACCAGTGATTCATTCAGATATACACTATTTGAGCATTATTTCATTCTTATATCATATACCATTTCAAAGTCATATGATTTTTTTGAAATGATGAACTTGAACATAGTGAAAAGGGAAACTTCAATTCGAAATTTCTCAAAATATATCTGATTTCGCATAATAGTATCGGCCAAACTAGGGGACCAATTAATGCTAGGTTCAAAGAACATCTTGCACATTTATAAAAAAGAAGGTTATTTGAACCGACACAAGTTTCATAAAATGACAATGATATTCATGTATGATAGTGATTGAAAGACAGCTTGTTTAAAAAAATCCGATTGTGTCAACTTCTGATGTATTAACGATACACTTTCAGTTTTCATGACAATGGCCTTATCAAAGTGTTACATCTGAAACAGCCCACAATTGACAGCATGCCAGGTTCACTGAGGCTCACAGTATCTTTTAACGAGGGCAAAACCAACTTCGCACCCAACAAAGCATGTTATTAATAAACACCAGAAACGTCGATTTGAAACGGTTGGGGTTGGACGTATCTGACGAAACATACGATGGAGTTACCGATAACGTTTATTATTCAGATAACCCAGCGTATATGTCATCATAACATTGAGGTTAACTTTTCATAATATGTCGAAACAGGGTGTACTTGTGCATTAGTTTTATACAGGGTGCGTTGCGGAATTCGATCGACAACCCTTCACAGGTATCCATGCAATTAGTTTTTGAGGTAAAGGATGTTGAGGTTGAAGGATGGATTTTTTTATCAATAACTCGAAGTGGCTGAATTTTCTTCAGTGTTACTGAATTTTCTTCAGTCAATTTAAATAACTACTCATATAATTTTCTCTTCAGAATCCTTCATTTCTAACGATAAATAGTCACGTCGTTCATTTTATTTAGTGATGCCAGCACATTAGGGAGTTGTTGACACTTTTCCTCAGGTATTTTCCACGCCACTGATGAAATTTTGATTATCTTCAATGTTTTCAATTCCCTGGTGAACAGTGTCTTTCAGAAATATGCTAATATAGGTATGGAAAACGAAATTAATTTCGAGAATCCACTTGGGCATCAAGTTTTGGTGTCTGTTTTGCTTTATACATGTCAAAAGTTTTTTTTTCTCACTTTCCACTGCGATGAGAAAGTGCTATATCATCACAATAGTATGGCTTCATTAATAATATAGAACTGCCATATAGATGCGCAAGATCCTTGTAAAAACCATTTTTTTCAATTTGAAGCTATCTATATGATATCCGGTGTGAAGAAACCGTGATTGTTCTCTTATAATACTCGTGATACAAATGTACCATCATACTATAAACTTATTCAGGAGAGGAAATTAGATGATTGCAACGAGATCGAAGAATATTCGAAAAAATTCTAAGCATGTTTTCAAATACCTTTTTTCGATACCTTATACCATCTATAGTACCACTTTTTGCCTGTTCATGGTAATCTTTTTTCGATCCTCCGCTGGTGATCACGTGACATATGTTTCAAAATAGATTTTTCGGTTTTCGAGCATGCACAACAGATCCTGAAGAAAAAAGTTTTGGAAACCCTAATACTGTTGTTCTAAAATTCTTCTAAAATTATCAGAGTATACTGGAATATTACTAATAGTTGAGGACTCTATGGATTGTCTCATTTCATTATATCTTATTAACTTTGAACACCCTGATATCGATAATTGGATCATCCTGGTCGACCCATGAATATCTGTAGGCATACAGATTTTTATATAATATTATTTAATATACCTAATATATTATACATATGGTTCTATACGAATCGACTGTTGAAAACATTCGACTCAAAAATACCCGATTTTCCAGAATAATTGATTGTTATTGTAATGAGGTAGGTACACCGATAATAATAATTTACTACTTAACCAATCAAAATGAAGACACCCATAATTCATGTTTATATCATTCGCATCAGTTGGGTAACTAGACGTTTACTGCAGAAAAACTGGATATTCATCATTGTAGATGTCACACAGGATATTGATGAAGTTGCCATATCATTACCGTCAAGGAATATTCCATACAATGCGATAACTTATCAAAATTTTTCAAACATAAATGACACACTCACCTCTTGTTGTCTTTGTTTCCTATCAAAAGACTGAATATATCATTATCATCAGTCAATATAAGACGTGAATGATGATGAAATAGTCAGATATAGTAGATAGAATTACAACTATTCCTACCTACCTCCCAAACCAAACATAAAATAAAAAAATATTTGGAATCGATTCAAATTTTTGAAGGTTCATGTATTCCTCTACCAAAAAAACGGATTTCTCCATATTTCAGTTATTCGAATAAGACTCCGTGGTTAGTAATTTATTCCATATTCTCATCTGTCAGAAAGTTCAGGAAGGACAACCAGTAGATGGATGTGTAGGTATGTGAAGAGCAGGGCTTGGCTAAAAGGGTTCAGTCGCATTTCCACAATACCATACTACTACTAGTACCTAATACTATCATTCCGTAGTTGGTTTGTCATTTTCAACATGAATTCAATCATTGTAAGAAATGTATATATTTCGATAAGTGCGGATGTGCACAGTTAACAACATTGAAGAAACTGCAATTTTTTTCTCCAAATATTGATCATCGTATTATTCACATTGAAATATCCTCTGATGAGTAGGTATATAAAGTTACTTCATACATTTATTCATTATTCATGTCATCTTCTTTGAGTGGGTTTAAATTGCTACAGCCGCCTTATGTTAATCTGTTTAGCCACCTGATAGAGCGACCTTGCAAAAAATGCAATTATTATAGCCAACCGTGGTTTGAAAAAAGTCAATTTCTTATTCCTTCAAGCATACGTTGACAGGCAAGGTGCATTTTATGCTGGCGCTGAACCTGATCTGTATCAAGGTATCAATGTTTTCCGTCACCAGATGTTGTATACCTGCCTTCAGGCAGAAACTTTTCTTCGCCATAGTGAGAAACAAAGCCAATTGTAAGAACATAGAATAACTAAGTCATGGAAACCATGCATTCTCAAAGTGGTCCAGTATTTTTCAACAGGAGAAAAAACGAACTCAAAGTTGGTCAACCACAATATTTGATATAAAAATAATCAGTGTGTTACTATAGTTTCGGCTCTACGGCCATCTTCAGACAAAATGAAGAAGTACCTGTTATGTAGAGAACATATTAACAATAAAAATTATTATCGGGTTGTTATAACCAAGGATCAATCCAGCCTCACATTCAACAAAATTTGTAACGGCTGAAAAGCCGCGTATATAAGCTCGAAACATGTTCCGTTACGATTGATCTTTGATCATTCTAATAAATGTTGGGGAGATGACTTTGGGTTTTCATTCATGAACTACACATATATCTACTTTGAGTTACTATGGACTTCTCCCAAATATTAACTCGATTATAATTGGTGCTTTACAACCTCGCTTCATGATTGGGAATGGATGATTATCTGACCAATAAGGAAGCAGCATGATTACTGACGTCACAATGTATCCGACGAATCCCAGTACATGGCAAAATGAGCTCTGAAATACAAAAATTTCGAACGACGCATGGACACATTATTTACATCAATACCGAAATTAATTTATTTAATTTATCTCTATCTCTAGAAAGCCGATCTCACTGTGCCCAACATAAGCTTGTCAGGAGTAACGATACCTTTGAAGACATCCATTTTGATGCTTGGTATATTACTATCAGCAATAACCTTCCTTGGGAAAATCACGTGAGATCAAGTTCTGAAACTGCATTCCAAAAACTTGGTTTTCTGTTTCGTGCCAGAAGCTACTTCACTTCCAGTCAGCTGCATAAAATCTATATAAGGCACGAATCCGACCTGTCCTGAAATACTATTTCCATATTTGGAATGCATCACCCAGACATACCCTGAAACTGTTGGATTCTGTCCAAAAAAGGGCAATTCGTCTCGTGGGTGATGCCTCCCTCATAACCCCACTTACTTCTCTGGAACAACGAAGAAAAATCGGCGATCTGGCTCAATTTTATAGATATTTTCATGGACGATGAAATATCAACAATTGTTCCTCCCTTGGCAGTCTCCGCGAGATTAACCCGTCGAGTTGAGGCTTCACACCCCTTCGTGGTCACTTTGGAGACCTGCAGAACATCTCTTTCCAAAGACTCATTCATCCAACGAACAGCGACGCTCTGGAAGACATTGACAAGGGAGGTGTTCCCCGAGGCATATAACCTCCAGAAATTCAAGAAGAACACGAATTCATACCTTATTTTTCTTGGTTCTCACGATGTTCTCTGAACATTACAGGATATCCCTTTTCGTGGGAACATGAACAAAAAACAAAAACTATCGACACAGTGCAGACAACTATTCACTATCAGTCCAGTAGCCCATTGATGAGGACGTTCAAAATAGGTAGGTATATATGACAAAAGTAATTCTTCTTCATTGCAGGATGTTTGCAGTCACGAGGTGCGGAAGATGCCATGCAGGAATCTCCGCCAATGAACTAGTGATGAGAGCGAGAGACCTCGTCTACCACCTCCACTGTTTTTCTTGCACATCCTGTGGTATCCTGCTGTCTAAAGGAGATCATTTCGGCATGCGAGACCGTTTGATTTATTGCAGGTAATTGGCATGATCCAACTAGGAACACATTTTCCAATTTTACGCAGTATAAAATTAACGTGGTGTGACGCTTGATGTGGTCTGGTGGTCTGAAGAACTTCCACTGAATAGTATGAAATTGACATCGACCCAATTGGTGAAACTTTGAAGTCTAATAGCAAAAAACAATGAGTTGTTTCAATAGATTATCTTAGTAAATTGTCATCTTATTTGATTACGAAATCGATTTTCTGTTTCTAGTTGAGTTAATTCAATTCCAAAAGTGTTAGTCATTGGATCCCAAATGCGATATAAAGATTTGAAAAAGTGTCAATTGTTATTTTCGAATCGGCAATTCAATTTCAAAATAATTCCAAATTAGTCGATTAATTTCGCTAGATTTTCAAAATGTTCTCTGCTCATTTCTACAGATTAAAAAATATTATTATTTCAATATAGCGTATAGTAAGGGCAGATCAGATCATTTGACCCAAAAAGTCACGGAATTGGAAAATTTCACAACAGAAAACCTAGCAATAATCGATCGATAGAGTCATCAGTGCCTCCTAGTATTGAAAAATATTTGAAAAGGAATGTAGAAATATCGAAAAAATATTATTAAAAATATCAAAGATTTCATGCCATAGTGTTCCATTGCTTCTTAGTCAATTGGCTCTCACTGTCCACTGTCCTCATATGGGAACATACTCTCGGGCCCAAAGAATCATCCTCAATTTAGACATGATTATAGATCAAAAAAATGCAAAAAAATCATGGATACTATATTATGGAAATTATCTTCTTTATCTTCAAAGTTAACAATTCGTGAACGAAACTGTTGAAATGATTTTGGGAAGAAGCATACTAGTTGTCAAAGTATCAATCAGTAATCTTTCACTGTTATATCTCAAATCAAATGATATTTGAATGGCTAGCAACTGGCAATGAATTAATTAGAAAAACTCAATGGCTGTTATAATATATTATGTGAATTGGCGCCGAACATTCATCTATGAATAATCCTGTGCTTTTGTACCACATCATTGAAAAAGATATTAATTTGATAGAACAAAGACTGGTGTTGATATTATATCATCTATAATCCCTCCAATGTTACTGTGAGGAATATACAATTTCTGGATTCAACTTTGAATTGAAAAAGTGTATTACTTCATTAATTGGGGGAGAACTAAGTTAATATAGTCAGCAATTTCTCTAGTTATGCTGTTCACACCCTCCTGGTATATTTTCGAGTTCTGCTGGACAATTTGAGGAATCTTTCATTATAGAGTCGAATCAATGATCCAGACATAGTTAGTGTAGCGACATACTTTGTGCCTCGTAATAATTTAAACAGTTTTTGTTTCAGGCCTCATTACGAAGTTTTGGATTTCTGTGACCCTGGTGATTCGATGGACGTGATGTTTGGCAGTGGCGGGTCTCCGGGCTACTACCCATCGAGTACACCCCCACAGGGATGCAAGGGAAGGCCCCGAAAGAAGAAAATAGTGGATGATGGACCACCATGTGGAGAAATACCTGTATCCATGAGGATGGCAGCTGCTACTTTAGGTGAGTTCAGTATGGTGCAATATGCAACACGAATGAACAATTGATTCAATATTTCTCCTGAGCAATTCCAGCATTCCACTTCTTCATATTCACTGGGGTTGATCTCTCTACAAAACCCAGGTACATGATGGGTAAATAAACACTATGGTTTTTCATAGCTACCTATTCAAGAGCAGAAGCTCAGTGTCTCTATTTGAGGGATTGCATCACTTCATATGTATAGTTGCTGACTGAGTAATATTGCCTTCAAGGATCTTACATCAGTAGTTGATAAGGTGATTTGGGGTTTCCGCCACATTTATTGCATTGAAACTGTTATCGTATCTGCTTTTCCCAAAATATTACAAAAATACCTGCTTCCCCAGGGGGCAATGTCCGTTATATATTTCTCAAAATTCAGTATTTTAGCAGAAAGTTTATCTCCCTTCACAATTTGTATTGATCTTATTTTATAGTTGTATCGATATGACGATGAAAGTATAAAATCATAAGCTCTGATACGTTGTGATTTATCTGAGTTTTACCAGTACACGTTCAACACTTTTTCACCCTCAGCAAAAACATTCTCATGGGGTGAGTTTCAAGTCAAACAATAGCTGAAATACATACATTCACTCTTTCGTTGTTTGATAATCAATGAAACATACAAACAATGGTACGTATACCTACCTATACAATAATGACCATGACGAGTATTTACAAATCGTTCAAATTTGTGGAACAATAATTTATTGGGTCGGTAAAAAGGGGATGAAATGTATAGCCTTTCATATATCGTTAGATATAACTATTAGTATTTGTTTCACAAGACTACATAAGAACACAATACACAACTGCAGTGAGTAACCCCTCAATAGTTATACATTGGAATGAAGTCATCGTCTTCAGTATCAATATTGTCAATAACTATTATCAACAACAGCTTTTCACTTATATTTATTATTATGGTTTGCTAAAGTTTTCTTCGAAATGATTATCTTTATTAGTAATAGGTGACCAGGTTGGGTTATCTTTAATTTCTCGACAAATTTCGAGCAAGCAGCTATGAACCTCCAAAGCGCGCTGAATTCAATTTGTCTCAGTCCGAATGGAGCGGAGGCCTTCCAGAACCAGAATAGTCCTGGATGGTCATTAGTTAGAGTGGTCTCCACAAGTTAAATAATTAGGTGTGTGCATTGACAAAAATCTCAGCTGGGCACATTGAACAACAAATTTTAAAAGGTTATGGAGCCATTATGGAGCCCTGTATCCATTTCTGAACAGACGAAGTGAATTGAGTTTGAGACAAGAATTGAATATTTACATCATGGCTATCAGGCCAATTTCACTGTTTGCCTTGGTACTCTGGGGTCACACAGCAAAATCTCATATCACCAGATTACAAACATTACAAAACAAAATCGGGAGAATGGTAACAGGATCTCCTTGGTGTGGTCGGAATAGCCAGACCGCCAGGGATCTGAAACTCCCTTCAATCGTGTCCGTCATTAGGGAACGAAACATCAAGATTTTCGAACAAGCTGAGGTTCATGAGAATCAGCTTCTTCGAAATGCAGTTGATTATGACCCAGGTGATCAATCAAAGTTCAAAAGATCGAGATTGTCCATAAACTGAAAAAAATATCAACATTATGACCAAAATTACTATTCTCAAGTTTTTGATATTTATTTGGTCCGTTAATTCGATCTTTTTCAATGCTCAGAGTGTATTTCTGAAACTTATTTGGGGCAGAAGGTCTGTTCGCATCAAACTTCAATAGCGTTTTCATTTTGTTATTTTTTTGTTGTATGATAGATATCAGGAAAAAAGAGGGACTCTTCCCTGGTCTGAATCAAATAAAGGAAAGATCCAATATATATTATATGTTATAGATCTTGTAGTCGCTGAAAGTGAAGATGAACAAAGTTCGAACTGAAATATACTAACTCTGTTAAAATTCTCTTCAACTATAGTTTTGCATGGTGTAAACGAGTAGGCTAAATGACATGTCATTCACAAGACTCGAGTAAATACCTGAACCAAGGTTCTTGGAAAACACTCTCTATATATGGAGATATTTGCGTTGAGCATCCTCCTGAAATCTATGCAAGAATTTGTATAGACGAATAGTTTTTCTTTATACTAATGGTAGATTTATGCAACATCTGCATATAGTCCTAATCATAGTCCTACTCAAAATTTTAAGCATACCTAGAAGTTGAAACAAGGTACTTGCTTGAGGCCGTTTACACACCAATTTTACTTTTAATCATAAGCACAAGCCTAAGAAACGACCTTGAAATTTGATCAATTTGAACTTTTATGCTTATGCTTATGTTATGTGGATTCAGCGCATGCTCCTTTGAAAGAATTGTTGATGATTTGTTGGTTACATATAGTCCTAATCATAGTCTTACTCAAAATTTTAAGCATACCTAGAAGTTGATACAAGGTACTTGCTTGAGGCCGTTTACACACCAATCTTAGTTTCAAGCATAAGCACAAGCCTAAGAAACGACCTTGAAAGTTGATTGATTTGAACTTTTATGCTTATGCTTATGTTATGTGGATTCGGCGCATGCTCCTTTGATAGAATTGTTGATGATTTGTTGTTTACATGTTCCGAAAATAATATTATGAGAAAGCTCAGATGTTGATAAGTTTGATAGATATAATCTTCTTCATCTCTGATACAAAGAGAACCACAAATTCTCACATGGCTCTTATGCTTGAATCAAGTTTTAATGTTTCTGGATAAATACCTCAAAATAAATCTTTAGGACAAAAATTAATACTAAGACTATGCTTTGAACTAAGACTAGGACTATGAGAATGTTGCATTAGCCTGCCATAACTTTGTTAAAATTCATCCCAACTATAATTTTGCATGGTGTAAACGAGTAGGCTAAATGACATCTCATTCGCAAGACTCGAGTAAATACCTGAACCAAATTAGATCTATGCCTGAACCGAGGTTCCTGGAAAACACCCTCTGTGGAGATATATTTGCGTTGAGCACCTTGAGGGAGAATCAAGGTGGATTCATGCAACATCAACTAAATTATAATGAATTTAAGATTTAAACGAATTTTAAATTAAAAATATATGGGTGTTCATGCAATAACCTTTCATCAGCTGTTTATTCTTTTTCCAGCGCGGCTAGTTATTATTTGGCGCATGCGTTGTCGTGAATTATCCCAATCAGCACCAGACATCTTAAAGACGTACATTTTACGAATTACTTACGTCTTTACGTTCAGGGACGTATAAAGTACGTCTTTAAGATGTAAATCCATGTACAACTTAAAGACGTACACGAATTTACGTCTTTAAGACGTACATTTTAGGTCGTATCCACGTCGTTCCTCCCATGTCGTATAAAAGACGTCTTACCCAGCAAACACAATTATGTAAAATTGACATAAGTGTTACATAACTGACAATACGTGTTATGTAACTATGTTATGTAAGACTTACATCACTGTTATGGCGAAATGTCCGCCACAAATACTACATGATTATTACGTAACAATTATGTCACTATTTTATATATATTTTATATAATTTCATTGCTATAAATAAGATGTTACGTATATAACAAACTGACATAAATACATTCTCTAGATGTTATGTAAAATTTACATCCCTATTATGTAAAAATGTCAGCTACAAATATGACTCCATTTTAATATAATATTGATGAAGTAGGTAAGTAGGTGATCCAAACTCTACACTCCATAATATCTATACTGATATTACTGATGATGATATATGGTTATAGAAATGTGCATGAGAGTTGGAAGTGGGCTAGTGTGAAAAAGAAGTTATTTGGCAATTTTTGATTGTGTGGAAAAATGTAACAGAGACAGATTAGTCATAAAATGCTTGATGGTTTATTATCTCCTATATCATTCAGTATTCACTTCAATTCTCCTCATGTACAAAAAAACTCTGCTGGAAAATTTTTAAGACTTTCTGTTCCAAATATTATGCATTATAGTACACAGTATAATTGATCAGTTGCTAACTTTAAAACAAAAAAATTGTCAAAAAATCATAGACTGAATAATCTTCAAATCGAATAAAATGGAATGTCCTGAATAGAAGATGATGAAACAACATCAACTATCAAATGAAAAACATGACCTTTATTTTTCTTTGAAAATAGTGAGACCATTTATGTATACTTCAAAAGTTCAAAAAATCAAAATTGTGAGTAATCAAATTATATATTTCTTCTTGATCTCCCAATTCAACCCTCCATTTAACCTCTGGTGACTAAATCAGAACCACCTTCCTGCTGGTTCATCTATCAGAGTAAGATATCGAAGGGTGTGTGATAATGATGGAGTCTGAAAAAATATTGCTTTGTTTTTCATTTTTCAAATTAAAATCTAAAATATATATTACCAGATAATGATATTTCGATTGATTTCAAATCTCTGACTTCAATGTTTCCCCTCTGCCCTTACCAGGAACATTGTGTGGCCCCTATATAGATAGTCTCTCCCATCTTTACCACCTTGAGTTTTGAAAAGATGTACCTACCTGGAAAAGTATACATTTCAGGATTCATCTTATTGGGGTTCTTCATGAACTTATTTATGAAACAAAAAATAATAATCACTGACAAAATGATTAAATTTCCATAACCAATAATAATAACTTTAATCCAGAATGTGAGGCACTTTGGGGTTTTCACTGGGGTTTTCATCAGCCATCATAATCAATCACTGGCTTTTGTTCAATTTCATATGAGAATTGGAGTTTGACCAGATTATACCTCGGATTCTATCAATACCTACCAGATTCATCATTTATTCTAGGCATATTTAAAAGGTCCAGGATAGATATGTTAACTATTTCTTTCTTGTTGTTTTCACAGAGGTTAGGAAAATCTCAAGGCATGTTTTATTTCACTCACTTCCACTTATTCTTATTAACACTTTTAGTTCAGTTTAATTCATCAAACACAGCAGGTAGAAACAAGAAAAACACTCGAAATAGTTATAAAATACCG